GAGAGGTACAAGACCAAAAGTTCTTGACCGCGTACAACAGGGCGTGGGCGGATACTACAGTGACTCGCGGGAGGATGATCCACTATGTGAGTCGTCACTTGATGATGTCTCAGCGGTGACATGAGCATCGAGCAAATTGTCAGGTGGCGAAGGTGTCATCTCAACTTCGTCAGGAAGTCAAGCAGAAGGCAAAGCGCGTCGTCGAGAAGAACTTCCTCGCGTTCAAGGTGCCGCAACACGGCTCTGACGGCAAGAAGCTCAGCAGTGCTGCGTACAACGAGAAGACGGCGAGTCACCTCGAGGCTCTCGTGAAGTTCTTGAAGCAGGACTTCGCGTTCCATCACGGCAACTTGGAGATGCCAGATCCGATGGTGGATCCCTCGGTGCGTGTGCGTGCCAATGTCTAGGTACGGCTTACTGATATGTATTAGCTGTGGGTGGCCAACCTGGACGCTCCCTTCCACAACGAGGCTGTGGCTGAAGTCGCAGCTCGTCAGTGGTGGTCTGGAGCTCATCGGGAGGCCATGCGGCCTGAGAACCACGCGCGGTTCGACATCAACAAGCAGCCCCTGTCGAGCAACATGATAGCTCTGGTCTGCTCTGCGGTGAGTACGATACCCTAGGTACTGAAGCCTCTATTCAAGTCATTGTGCATTAGATCATCGTTGCGCTGGACGAGGCCGTCAAGGTGAACGTCACCGTCAGCTTCGACGAGAAGACGTACGCCACCGAGTAAGGAACATTATTTGTTTATAGCGCCGGCCTAACTGTGCTTTGTAGGCACGATCGTCTGAAGGTCAGCATCGACAACCTGCGGCGCTGTGCAGACCCGAGTGACCCGTCGAAGTACGATGAGGGCTGTGCTCGGTTCTGCAAGTCAATGGACGAGACGTTGGCGAACACCATACGGTAAGCACATAGCCTGTTGCTGACGCTGTGCTAGTGCATTGCAGGGGTAAACCCCGGGTGTCCGGGGGCTTACCCGTACCCGTACCCGCCCGGGTACCGTACCCTCGCAGCGGGTACGGGTCTCGTGCGGGTACAGCGGGTCTGCGGGTCAGTGAGCGGGTCGGGGAGGGAGTACGGCAGCGGGCAGAGGGCAGGGAAGGTCATGCAGGGAGTCGTGTGAGCGAGCGAGCGATTGCGCGGGCAAGCGGGCAGCACCCGTTGTCCTGACTCCTCGCCGTGCTCACCATCTTCCTCGCCCGTGCGTCCCCACCATCGACTCGCGCGTCCCAGCGAGCCCGACGCCCGTACGTCTTCCCCATCTTCCCGCCCTGCATCCCGTCTGCACGCCCTCCCGCTTGCTCGTTGGTGTGCCTGCACCCATCCTTCGCTTGCCGTTCATCGGCCGTGCCGGCGCGCTGGGCATTCGCCCAGCGCACTCATGGTCTGTGTACGTGTGGTATTGACCCGTCTGCACGTACGTTTGTCAGCGGTGTCCTGCGCGCGATTGCCGCATCGTTGCCTGGTTGTGTGCCCGCCCGCCCGCCTGTGTACGCGTTCGTCAGCCATGACTGCGCTGGGCACCCGCCCTCTTCACTCACGGTCGCTGATCCCGCTTGCCCACTTCCCTGCCCAACATCCCATCCGCCCGCGAGCTCCCCAGTCCGCCTGCCCGGCCGTCTACTCGTCCGCTTTCCCGCCCGTCTGTTTGGTCGCTCGTCCGCGCGTCCACCCGCCACCCGCTCGCCATCCGCCTCCGCCCGCTGTCCCGCTTGTCCGCCTGTGCGCTCGTGTTCCCACCTGCCCGCCCGCCTGCGTGTGCGTTCGGCGGCCACGTCTGCGTGCTGGGCATTCGCCCAGCACGCTCGTGGTTGACGTGTTTGTGCAGGTGGTCCGTGCCAGGGCCCGCCCGCTGTTGCTAACGCTCGTCCGCCCGCCGACTCGCTTGCTCGCTCGCCGTCCCGCTTGCCCGCCCGCGCGTCCCGCCCGCCCGCTCGCTCTCCCAGCCCTCACATGTGGGCCCGTCCGACTGTCCGTTCACGCCCGCAGCCCGCTTACCTGTCCCCCCGACTCGCCCGCCTGCCCGCTCGCTTTGCGCGCGTTCGCCGGTCGTGTTTGCGTGCTGGGCAGTTGCCCAGCGCGCTCGCGGGCGACGTGTGTTGCCGCCCGCCGCTTGTTCGTTGGCCGTGCCTGCACGCAGGGCATTGGCCCTGCGTGCTCGCGGTCGTCGTGCGCGTCGCGCTGGCACGTTGCCGCGTACGACGCGTCTGCACTCACCTCTCACGCCTCGTGTCTGGTAACTCCCTCTGCAATCCTTCGCGCCTGCTCGTCCCCGCAATAGACGAGCGGCCCTCCCTGCGATCTCCTGCGCGCGCCGATGCGGCCTGGACAGTGGTCTTGCGGGCAACAGACGCGCCGTTCGTCTGCCGGTCTTGCTGGGCCTTGTCTGCGCTCATCGGACTTGCAGACGCGCTGCGCGTCGGTCGTCAGCGGCGCGGGAGGAACCTCTTGGCGGGGCCTTGACGTGCGCGTCGACGCGTCGAGCTCGCCGTCGCTCAGAGGGCGGGCGCGTGGTTGTCGACAGAGGGCAAGCGCGTGGTTGCTCGACAGAGGGCGGGCGCGTGGTTGCTCGACAGAGTCGACCCCCCGTTGTTGCTGGTCGGAGGGCGAAGAGAGAGGGAGGTGTGGCAATCCTGCGAGCGACTCGTTTGGGCGCTCGCGGGGTTGCCTCTTTTGGCAGTTACGGGCACTGCGCGCCCGCATACCCGGCGCAGACCATAGGGGCGGGTATGCGGGTTCGGAAATGGCTACCCGGACCCCTACCCGCGCGTACCCCTACCCGCGACCCGCGCGGGTTGGCCGTACCCCTGCAATGCACTACGCTGTGCTGACACAACATGGTGCCTATCAGGAGGCTTGCAGGGATCTCGAGCACGAGCGTAGACGACGACGACGAGGCAGCTGAGCCTACGGTCACCCGTGGCATTCCTACGGCCGCGATCTCGCGCATCTCCAAGCTGTGGGCGCCGAAGAACACTGGCACGAAGGCTAGTGACGTGCCTGCGGCGGCCTCGGCAAGCGGCTCAGGCCAGCCTGACGAGCGTGAAGAGGATGCAGAGGCCCCGTCAACCGCGTAGAGGAGTGTGCAGGTGCGTGAACTGACGGTCTGACATGGAGCATAATTCCTGAAACTGAATAGGTCTTGCCATGGTGGTGTCTACGTCCTGTCTACGTCCGTCAGGTGGTGGAACTGAAACGCAGTACGTCTCGCTGCGCTCCGTTTCGTGTACGATCATCTTCGTCGAGGTTCTCTACATCATGTACGTCGTATTCGGACTGTCATTCTGTGCCCATGCCTGCGCTGTCCTCTCCGCCTCTCTGTAGCTTTTACTGGGCTCAAACACCAGCTGCATTACTAACATCGCTCTCATATCCACGAGCTGGTGGTATACCCTGTATAGCTACGTGTTGTGATCATGTATTACTGTATGCACCGTCAATACCGCAATGAACTGTTCGCTCGCATTGCCTACTGAAGTGCATCATGATCCATTTATAACCATGCTATGGGCGCAATATGCACACTTTGAGAGCTCTTGATTAGCAGTCTCAACCTTCTAATGAGTAGGAATTGGACGTTGGTTTTATCACTGGCAAACCAGTTTATTATTGCTTTTTGAGTGGGAAACCCAATGCTGGGCTGCCCTGACAAATGGCGGTTGAAAACGCACTTCAAGGAATAAATAAAAATAAAAAGCTGCTTTTGTCAAACAATTCCTCTTGAGACCGAGGCACTTGTGTTGAGATTGGTTGAGGCAGTTTGGCTACTTTGGCGCTCTCAAAGCACTCTCTGTTGCTCTTCAGAGGGCCCAAGCATCTGGGCGGTTTTCCCTGATGTCCCTCAAGATCACGGATCTCTCCCGATCCCCGGGCGTCGCGCCCGACGTTCGGTAAGCCGACGCCACGCCCGCTGAGCTCGCCGCCACCGCGCACGGGCCCATCGCATCGCGCTCACCGTCGACGACCATGGCGGGCCCGTGCGGAGATCGGGTCCGCGTTGACTCTGACGCGCGGCTGGGTGGCGCGTGCCCGAGCCTCGCGGGCACTCCCACGGTCGTTGATCGGGTGATTCCCACGCGCGCTCGCCACCGCGTCCGGCGCTGTGCTCGCTGTCGGCGACGACGAGCACGAATATCTCGCTCCCCTCTCCGTTTCTCGTCGCGATTTCGTGCTACATACATATAGTATCAAATTGAACACCGTATATAGGCTTCCACTGTATATATAATCAGTAGTTACCTTGGAATTGTATGATTTTACATCCAATCATGCCTCGGCATTATGCACGGATAGAGCGGTCAAAAGCGAGCAAAATGTGCTCTTTTATACTTATTACTACTGCTATCATGATACACAACTAGTCTTTCAATACTATGAGCAAGTTGTCCTGCCCTGTAAGTGAAAACTCCGCCATAAGTGGCCATGTATAACACCTCAACCAATGTACTGGTACTCAGACAAATAGCACTCATATACTCATGGAATGCATCTATGCCTACTCACTACTTGTTGTACGGTCTCTGCAGCAACTGGGGGTGATAGAGGTCAAATGTAGGTGGGATGCCACACATATGGCTGGCTCTGTTGCACAGCAGCTAATGCATGTCTATACACAGATCTTCGATGTTTTAGCATCTATTAGTGCTAACCAACAATGCTAGGGTACTAAATCTTAACAGGATTATATGCATACCTTGCGATGCGATGATGTTCGCACTGGTGGCTGACCTAGTGGCTGAGAAAAGGAGTGAGTCGGAATCGTGCACCTCGTCCTTGATTGGCATCGGATAAAACGGAAATAGGACCCACTAATGGTACAATAATGTTAGTATTTGTCCGAAGCTGTTTGGAGTCAATGAGGTGACAGCCAGGGGGTCTGTATGCAGAAGTGGTCGTAGTGGCGTGAAAGTGCCCGTATGCTCGTTAAGTGTGCAATGCACTCGAGCGATGTTCACTCGGGCACCGCTTCGGGCATGTCCCCGAACTGCCCGAGACGATGTTCGTCTCGCTCTACACGACCTCCTGCTTGTCCAATCCCCAAGAGACTTCACATATAGCATTTAGATATACAACACATATTGCATGCCATGTTTGGAGACAATCCAACCACAGGAGATGATGTGATACGTTCTTCTCCTTCCTGTAGCCCCCTATAGCCAATTGAATGCATGCCCTTGTCATCTCATCTCAGAAATGTATTGTAGGTGTAAGTACATACAGATATGATGCAAATGTACATTCTGAGAAGTATTCATAATGCCTGGATGCATGTAGAGGCTCCAAATGAATGAATATGCTTTTTGTACATGTGAACATCCTCATAACATTGAGGCACATATACTAGTCCTGATACTGTGAGTATACACAAAAACGTACATGAATGTGCTTGCAACATACTGGTAGAGCTTTCATGAGCTACAGTGGAGTGGTTGTGATGTTATGCATGCCCCCTTGTGGCAAAGTTTCGCATTTTGGGGCCAGTAATCCTTCATCAAACACTATTTATTGCTTGTGGATAATCATAGCAGTTCTCTAGAGCTTATCAGAGCTGTTACAAGGTGCCATATGACGTACATTTCATTTTCTCTTATTTGTTAACTCTAACCACCTCACGTGCATGAGGACCGGTTATGTACTATACCGCACCCGGACTATCATGTGATAGCTGACTCTTTTCTTCGTCATGCTCATCATTTCCTTCGTCAGCGATGACATATCCTGACTCATGCTTACTGTACGATCTGACTCAGGCTTCTTCGTTTGTATATATACCTGTACAGTAAAGGTCGGACTCTTCAGTTCGACCTGGTTAGCAATCGACGCTAGCTTTCTCATACCGCTACCGCTTCGGAACTCGACGAGGACGAAGGGATTCACATCCTTCCTCGGTCTAAGACACAGAACTCTCCTTGAAGTTAGTAACCTTGCAAGCTTGTGGCTTGTAGTGTTCCACTCGCCTAGCTTCGCGTAACATAAGGTCGAACTCTTCTTCCATCTCCACCTTCTCAGGTGTAGAGAACCCAACCTCCCGAACGGGCTCGAATCCTCGAGTCCGCCGAAACCAACATCACGCGCCATCCGATCCTCGACCCTGGCCGACTCAATCTACCAGGCCTAGGCGCAGAAGAAACCCTTTTCTGGGACGACGAACTCCTCCGATTTGACATCACCGCGGAAGGACGTACCGAACCCGTCCACGCTGAATACTCGAACAAACACCAGACATACGTTTGGACGAACTTTCGTTCCAACACCGACGACGAAAAGAGAACTACCCAGTTCTTTTTGAAACAACCACGATTCGCGAAAGCGAAAGCCCATATTGCAGGGTTGAAACGAACCCTCTCCCGCACCCCGTCCCTCGAACTCGAACTATCGACTTCTGCCCGCACGCTTGAGAAGCGTCCAGAACAAAACCCCGAACCGATCGAAACATCGTTGACCCCGGTCGACGAAGAAACCAGAACCGAACCAGACACCTTCCCCTACCGTCCCCTATCACCAGAACTGTCGATGTCTGTCTCCGCTGCCGAATTTGCCACCTTGAAGCAGGAGCTTCTGGAGTTGAAGGCCCGAAGCGTAGAACGAGGAGACAAGCTTGAGGTCTCGAGTCCGGAAGCCTTCAAAGGCGATCCTCTGGACTTGACCCGCTTTCTCAATGACCTCGAAAACTACTTCGCGGCTACGAAGAACACCAACACCGACGACCAGCGAAAGATCGCTTACGCGGTCTCTAAGCTCGACGGGAAGGCCAAAGGATGGCGTACTCTATTCTACGAGGAACAGAACAAAAAGCACACGAACAACCAGGTCATGTACCCAACCTGGAAAGACTTCGTCACCGCCCTCACATCGTCATTCCCCGTCTACGAGCACCTCGACAAGGCCATCACCGATTTCGACAACCTCACTCAAGGAAAGATGTCGACGCACGAGTTTGTGCACAAATTCAAGACAGCTGCGGCGCGAGCCAAATTCCGGGATGCTACTGGAACGGGAGCCACAAGGGTTGTGAACGACTACAACCTGCTCTCCAACCGCTTCCGCCGCGCGGTCCGACCCGAGCTCCT